GTAAGAGCGATCCGCGTTTTCACGTCAAAAAGTCGTCATAAATAAGTCTCCAATAACACCAGAAAAAGTCGCCAGATTTGTCGCTAGTCGCTTTTTAGAAAAAAAGTCGCTAAGGGGCCTGAAGACTCGCTAAATACAGCGACAAGGTCGCTAAATTGGCAACACTGGCTCCGGGCGGAAGGCTCACTGCGTTTGAACGGAGTCACGTGACTGTCGCACCGGTTGAAACCGACGGAAAGCCGCGGGAGGCTCCAGCTGCAGACCTGCGCGAACGAACGGATCAAACATCCAGCATAGAGTCCGGCTCCCCGGCTGCACACCCCCCGGTATGTCCGCTGCTGTCTGCGTGCTGAAGACCCGCTGCTTCCTCCGGCAGCTCCTCCCCGGCCTGCCCGCCACCATGCACAGAAGCTACAGCCTGGATGTCTCCGCTCCGCTCCTACGGACGCAGGGCTACGTGGACGGCCGCTGGATCTCCGCTGCCTCGGTGTTCCCCGTCCTAGATCCGGCCACCGGGCAGGAGATAGCCCGGGTGTCGGACTGCGGCCCTGCGGAGGCCAAGCAGGCGGTGGACGCTGCGTACAAAGCGTTTCACTCCTGGAAGCAGTACACGGCCAAGGTAGGCTGCACTCTCACAGAACTCCACTTTAAAAACCGACTATTTAAAATTAATGTCCCATTTCCGCCCTGAAAATTAAACGAAACACCCCAACGCTGGCATCTTCCCGACTGACAGAAGCCAGACATTTATTCGGATGTCATAAACTTCACCGGATACTACGATATGTGCAGGTTTCACTGTTTAAATTGGACTTTCTGCCCTCCGTAGTCAACTCAAAGCCTGGAACTCTTACGCAAATGATTGACATTGACTGACGGAGTTTATCTCAAAGATGTTATACACACACGCCAGACTTTAATACGGCTAACACAGAAACCACCTGATTTACGGATTTTCACACAAATCCAAAACTTTCTTTCATGGTCTTCTCCGCCCTCCCTACTCCACTAAAAAACTAAATTTACCTTAAATTATAAGTATTGACTGAGTATGGCGTCAAACAGCTTTCGTAACCGTTAAATGTTTGGAAATGTTTATTCGGTTAACTCGTAATTCACATAAATCCGTTTTTAGACTAAACCCAAACTTTAACAAGTGTCTTCCTGCTGCCGCGCCACTCGGAGCGGATGCGCACAAATCAAAGGTGAAGAATGACTCGCAGACAGGAGACAGACACGTGAGCCGAGATGAGCACCGCCCCTTAAACAGTCTCAAAACAAAGCTGCAGTAAGGAGATGCGGTTCCCCGCTGACAGCACACTACAATTACGCCGTATTTGAACGGAGTTTGGTGGACAGCAGGTGTTTAATGCAGGTATCTGCCAGTGTTGGTCAAGTTACTTGAAAAAAGTAATCAGTAACTAATTACTGATTACTTCCCCCAAAAAGTAATCCCGTTAATTTACTGATTACTTATTTTCAAAAGTAATTCATTACTTAGTTAGTTACTTGGGGCGACTGTGGCTCAGGGGGTTGGGAAGCGCATCTGTAACCGGAAGGTCGCCGGTTCGATCCCCGGGCTCTCTGTCCTGGTCGTTGTGTCCTTGGGCAAGACACTTTACCCTACTGGTGATGGCCAGAGGGGCCGATGGCGCGATATGGCAGCCTCGCTTCTGTCAGTCTGCCCCAGGGCAGCTGTGGCTACAACTGTAGCTGCCTCCACCAGTGTGTGAATGTGAGAGTGAATGAATAGTGGCATTGTAAAGCGCTATATAAATCCAATCCATTATTATTATTATTTTAAAAGTAATTAATTACTTAGTTACTTAGTTACTTTTTAAAAACACGATTTACAACCTGAATAGGTGATAAAGCGATAGATCTTTCAGCCCAATTCTACTTTTTCTGCATAATCCATCATACAAAATGTAATCAAATGGAAAAGTCTCTTTTTAAAACTTGTTTTATTAGTTTTAATCTTTTAACTTTATGCATCAAGCAAAAATTTAATTATATGCAACATTCTCTGACTGGAAGAAATTAGTTTAACATTTAAACCTATTTTCTGCACATTCCAGCACATAAAATAAAATATTTTTTGTGTTTACACTCAGTCTTTCAAATAGATGCAAGTAAAACACAGCAGAAAATAAATAAAGTCAAAGACTCAGCGGTCCTGTTGCTCTATTTTCACCTGTAAAGCAGGAGTGGGGCAGGCGGAGGTTTACCCTGGTGCAGGTGTGCCGCGGTCAGTGGAAGAATCCGCGAGTTTCTCTGTGAGTTTCCCATTACGTCGTAGCTACTCGGTGCTTGTTGGAAGTTTAGGGGTTTTTTCGCTGTAAAAAGAAGTTTTCTTCCCACGCACAGCGGACACTAATGTTTTTGTCACTTTTTATGGAATCAAACTCAAAGTAAGGTCAGTACTTCCACGCTTTAAACGCTGCACGCTCATACTCTCTCTGCACTCGATATGTGATCCATTGTTGATCTGCACACAGCTGTTGTCACGAACGTCGCACTCGCTTACGTCACTGTCGTGAGACATTCTCGCAGGAAAATCACGGTTTTAGTAACGCAGTAACGCAGCGTTCCTACGGGAAAGTAACGGTAATCTAATTACAGTTTTTGCAATAGTAATCCCTTACTTTACTCGTTACTTGAAAAAAGTAATCGGATTACAGTAACGTGTTACTGCCCATCTCTGGTTATCTGCTGTAAGGCGTCAGCAGTCAGTGTGTGGATGCCGCTGAGCTAAGTTAAATGTTTAAACGCCCGCAGCCTCAGACACAAAGTCCGGCTTTGTTAGAGGTCAGCAGGGTGACTGAGCTCCACCTCCATACAGTCACCAACACAGGAGGTGACCCGCTGAAGGATGAACCAACGAGCAGGGACGGAAATCTACAGGAGCAAACTCAGGACGGGATGTGTCCTCACTCTGGTCCTTCACTCAAGTTTATATAGATTTTTTGTAAATGAGAGAATTGTTTGTGTATTGTTGATGAAACTAAAGTTCTGTCGCCGAGTCTCCATCAATGTGAAGCATGTTGGCGGGGGACAGGTGCGAACGGTTAAATGTGACGATGAAGGCGTCCAGGTGACTCGTGCTGTGCTCTGATTGGTCGTCCTGCAGGAGAGGAGCGTCCTGCTAAGGAAATGGTTCGAGCTGCTGACGCTGCACAAAGATGAGCTCGCCCAGCTGATCACGTTTGAATGTGTGAGTATGACACATGAACTCACCTGTAGGACACCTGAACATGCAGTACATGTCAGCAACGAGTGAGTACTTGTACTGTAGTACTTTTCAAATAAATACTACTTTAAAATGTTTGTTTGACGAAATAAGAAAACCTCAAGAAGTTTTTGTAAAAGTGTTTATTGTAACAAACACTCATCTTCATCCTGCTGCGTGTCTCTGTGTCTCTGCGTGTCTCTGTGTCTCTGCGTGTGTCTCTGCGTCTGCGTGTCTCTGCGTGTGTCTCTGCGTGTGTCTCTGCGTCTGCGTGCGTGTCTCTGCGTCTGCGTGTCTCTG